ACGTCACATCACACAGGCCATTGTTGATTAATCTGATCCGAGGTCATTGGTTCTCCGTAGGTCATTCATGCATAAATATGGTCTGAGGAGACATTCTTGCGCTGATATACTACGAGGTCAATGTTATTTAACATTGTGTTCCAACAATGACCTTTCGCCCTATTGTTGTGCAAGAAATTGTTCCAAGGGTGCCCATTTTGGAGCACTGACTCCCGAGAATGCAGTTTCCCTTTCCCCGCAGGAGAAATGCGACAGACATCAAATTTGATATTGAGGAGCTCTACTTAAAATTTTCGACAAATTTAATTCATTTTTCAATTCGGACGACAGTAACGGAAACATTGCATGACGATATAGACAGGCCCTCGTGCGTTTCTGCCTCCATCTAAAGAGTACCTCGCTAAATATTTATTAGAGTGAAAAATTATTTGAACAGTAGTAAAACATCAGATGCAATTTTATGTTCAACTTGGCCTGCACTTATCCGTGAGCCTTACGAATATCAAGATAATTAAACAAAAGCAATTTTTATGTTGTCATCTGATAGCTCGAACCTCTGACTTAAATAAAGTTTTTTTATATTTAATTAATTATTCTTGTCCGTCTATTCACAATTTAAAATTTAAAATTAAGATAATTAAAATAACATGTGATGTTCCTTATCTAGATGTTCTAAATGTAAATCGAATGTATCGATAAGGAACATCACATGATATTTTAATTATCTTAATTTTAAATTTTAAATTGTGAATAGACGGACAAGAATAATTAATTAAATATATATCTTCACAATATGACGCAACTATACCAACTTATGAAAAGTTTTTTATTGTAGATCTATGTTCATTTGACTTGTCTGTTTTACGTTATTTTCAAAGAGAATATCAGAAGTTATTATTTACGATTTGAAAATCTAGAAGAAATAACAGAACGAGCGTGCCGGAAGTGTTACATGACGCATACATTTTTTTTTCCATTGTATTTGTAACGTATTTCTAATGTTAGATATTTTTCCATCCTTCTTACACAGCATGGAATATTTACTGGGTACTGTATTCGAGAATTTACTTGTGATATACGTTTTAAATTATATTGTTCTTACATATTTAGTTTGCCTACTTAATTAGTAATAAATGTACTCTTACATAATATGTACATAAATATAACTTGCAAATAAAAAATAGTTGTAATACATGTGACAGTTTCAGTAAGAAACATCCTTAAGTGTAATTGATATTGAACTCCAAGTTTCCGACGTGTCCGAACGTGATTCCTTGCGTGTAGTGAGGTCGAAATAACGATGACTCCAGCAATGTTTTGTTTTATTTGGTAACCATAGTCTCGAGTTTGACCCGGTATATAAACTGGAATGCATTCGTGCACAGTTAACACAAATATTCTGCACACACAGCTGACTTGAACTATGTGACAAATTCTATTAACAATTCTATTAGCGTGTTAATGGACTTGGGAGCAGTAGATTATTAGATTCCTTTCGTTTCTTGAGCCAAAATATCTCCCGTTTTGAGTTCTGTTTAATCCATTAAGACACATTTACCACCTCAGTAACCATCGAAGACTTTCACAGTTCAGTACTGCAGTGTTTCAGGTAACTACAAATGTTTGTCTCCTCTCGCATTTTATGAAGCCGCGTCTGGGAGGTTCAGGTTCAGGGTCTTTTGGGCCTGGGGTGCATTAGAATGACAGATTTGTCATTCCAGCTGCTGTGATTCGGGAGGAAACCAATATAAGAATAATAAATTTAGTGACTCCTTGAATATGTAGAGTTTTATAATATTTATTTGGCATCTGCTGTGATTCGGGAGGAAACCAACATATGAATAATAAATTTAGTGACTCCTTGCATATGTAGAGTTTTATAATATTTATTTGTAATAAATACGTATGTATCGGCGGTAGTTTACACGAACGAATATTTCTGGATCCTGACACAGCGCTGGCCGACGACAGCCCACACCTGCCACTGTGGGTCCAGAAACATGTGACTGACTTGGGGCAGGGTCTTGGGCGATTGCAGCAGCACGGTGTGGGACTCCGCCGACAGAGGACGTCTCGTGTCCCAACGCACCACCGCATGATCCCGGGGCAGGAAATAGTGCAGTCCTGCCGAGAGATCCTGAACCAAGCCACGGGATGGTCCTAGTTTCCTCCCCAGAAACGTCACAGGCTGCCTTTTCGCCTTCTGCAAAAGAAATGTTCAGGTAAGTACAGAGACACGTGTGCCGTGCCGTATAGTGTTGCTTTCTCCTCCTGTATCGGTGCGTCCAGACCATTTGTTCTCGAGGTCGGTCGCGAGCCGCTGACTCAGGAGGGGCTTTTGCGAGCTGTGTCCATACAGCTCTTTTAATGGTTTCATACGTTCTGTTTTGTGAGGTCTTCGTTATCCCTGAGCTGTTTAGCGAACCTCCGTTGTAGTTCTGACACTACTTAGATCCTTACTGTAGACACCGTGCACATTTGTGGAGGTATACAAGATGGAGCACGTGAATGAAATGTCTGAACGCAGTTTAAGAAGTAAAGCCGTATAGGGTATGTGGAACGAGACGTTTTGGTAATAATTAAACAGTAGTTATACCTATTCGAAATCATTAAGCTTGACTGTGCTTATGATTACGTTCGTTGCTACGTGACAACATTAATAAGAGAAGTCTTATAAAACAAAATACCGCATGTCAAATACCATTATTATTTGAATTCAGAATATAAAACGTAAATTTTTCCGAAATTCAACTTTTCAAGGAATATCTTTCGCCATAAAGTTAGTGCTGATGAGATGTGGTCCACAGCGACTAACATTGCTACTGGGTTGCGGTGAGGACCGAATGGCTGACAGGTCCAATGAGAACATCCGGTCCGAGTCAGGCTCCGCCAGGTATAAGAGAGACTCGCGTCGGGACAAAGCGAGCGTCACGGCGCCAACAGCATGCATGCGTTCCTTTTCCAAGCTCTTCACGTCCAGTCCAATCTGCCACCACCCGCTCTGCCCTATGACCAGTAATGCGCCGCTTCTGGAACCGCCCACGTAGGCGCGAGGTCCCCAGGCACCGACAAACGGATCCGCTACAATGGAAGTTAACGCATGTGACGCCACATTTGTCAGCCACACCCTCAGAACCTGGAAAACCAGACCTATCAGTCACCAAGAGATCGTCGTTAAATAAGCAATGAAATAAAAGAAATTAATGTCAAAAGAGTAGAAATTGCTACGACAGATCGCCTGCATAATAACAGCGCAGTTCTGGTGCCATTAGGATGTAAAAATATGTAATTACTGTGGTAACTGAACTGGGGAGAGTACATTGCATTTTCTGTTGTAGGGTAATGCAGATACGAAGTTGTTTTCAAAAATGGAAGTTGCATGAAACTTCGACGAAAATATTTTTGACGTAAATACGTCTATATTTTAGGGTCAGTGTCATTCGGCAAAAATGTAACGAAAAAGGGAAACGAAAAAGTGTAACTTCGTTTTTATGTTACCTAGGAAACGTCATCTGTTTATCAACAAATAAACAACAGTGGTTACCTACATAGTTACCTTACCTTACATTACATTACATTGAGCTACCACAGACCCATCTTAAGCGTAACTAATTCAAGTTAAATAAGCAAAGTCTTAATCAAACTTTACTCAATTGTAAAGCGGATATAAAGGAAATATTTAGATTAAAGCCAATATATAAACTTCCTTTCCGTATAGACGTATTTACGTCTAATTCTCCGGAACCGTGGTTCCACTGACAACTCTTTTTTGGTGTCGTTGGAATGCCACTTTTCCCGCGATCCTTGTCTTCACAACATAAAACATGAGAACATATTTATTTCTATGAATGTCAAGTTTCGAAATATTGTCGTCTACTAAGCACCGTCAGAAGAAAAAGATCTTAAGAAGGTCTTCGTATAACAAGTTTAGTAGAAGTTACCTTATAGGAATCTGGGACAATTAAAGAATTTAGAAAACAAAACACTGACAATTACGTCCGAACAGAAGTCAACACAAACCAAAGTTGCTGCAGTCGTCCATTGCCTTCTTAATATTCAGTACTTCTTTCTACTTGGGTTTATTGTTTCAGTTTGAAAAATCACTCGACTGGTCAAGACATTCCCCGCCATTTGTGGAACCTGAAGATTTATTACTGTGTTTACAAGAGCTCGCCATTTTACTCTGTGAGGTTCAGTGTTTAAGATCCTCTGTAGCAGTAGCCTGCAAGTACCAAATATCTCTTTCATTCTGGATTTCTGACTAAAATTTTGTGTGGATTTGTCGTCTACTTATTTCACATGTCTCATTGTCCTTCATGTGACAACTTATGAAACTCGTGATGTGATTTTCATCATCATCCTCTTACACAAAATATTTATTTTCCTTTAAGTTGAGAGACCAAGATTTATCTGTCTTACCTCTTCGTTCCTGCGCAGGTCAAAAACAATCACTTTGGGGCTACAGATTTTAGTACCAGCGTCCAGGACCCACAGTCGCCCTCTCATAGAATCGACGTCCAAAGCTGTTACGTTCTGGAGCGAAGGACAGTGCCCCTCTCGTTGCATTGTCGGGTCACTTCTAGGGTAAGGCCGAGGAGACATGTGGGACGAGAATCCACCTGCCTGAAGGGAGAACTATTAGGTTTAAAGCAGACTGCGTTGTTTCGCATTATTAGCGTCATTTGTTGCTGATTCGCTATCTTTTGTCGCCTTTGGGACAATTCACGTTGTTAGATTGGCATCATCGTTTCATTTGTTTTCTCGACGTGCATTTATTCTTTTCGTAATCTTCTATAGCGATGGAATGCTACGTTCGGCGTCAGTTTGTCGGCGTTGTGTTTTATCTTGCCTAGTTATTATTTATATTATTTAGTGTTCTGTCTGACGACAGGTCCATATGAACGGGATCCTTCCATCCTTTTCTCGGACTGGGACCTGTTCATATACGTTCTTGGCAGATGATCCAGAAGTGGTTTGCCATTGCCTTCATCTGTGTGTGAATGGAGTAATTGTTGGGATGCCACAGAGAAACCGGGGAAGCCCCCGGAGGAAAACTCCGTGTTGCCTAGACCACGGCCATGCCCAACACAAGTTATAAATTCGAACCCGAGACCCCAGGATTACAAGACCAGCGTTCTAACCGCTAGACGGGAATTGAACCCGAGACCCCAGGATTACAGAACTAAAAATGTTCGCAACGGATAATCGGACGGACATATATTTAGGAAATTATTTGTTTATGGTTTTCTCTCAAACATTTTATAAGATAAATGCAATGTTTCTTGTGGACATGCATTTAAATACCCTGTGACTAATATTTAAAATTCATAAATTTTATAGACGTGCGGACAAAATGTAAACATTTTAATACGTTTCCGTGAAATGTTACGCGCTCCGCCATACTTTGACACCGGTCAAAACGTAATTTTTTCGGTGAAGAAAATGTTGGCTGTACCTGTTGCGTTGCTTTGTGACTGGAGTTCATAGTCTCTGGCCATGAAGCCTCTAAGAGCGTGGCTGTCACGGTCCCTAGATCGTATCTAGGCACGCAAATATACGCCCGATTTCTCCACACAGCTACTTGTCCAACTGGGGCGTGTAATGGGGCGAAACCAGATAGATGCCAGCTCAGGGCAGGGGCTAGCAGAGTAATCCAGAATAAATGTAGAAGAATGGTCGACATCGTTGTTTCTAGAATCTGCAAAGTAATACCAAATCAGTGGAACAAGGAACTTTTTTCATTGTGTACGGAATTAATGTTTACCCTTTGAACCACATGCTTTAACAGTTTAAGTTACTGGTTTTTCCCAAAAAAGTGTATTTCTGGGTGTTGTATGATTCACAGTATATACATAGTTTATTTCCGTAAACGGCCCTCCTCTTGATAGTACTGAGAATAAAAACATGTAGTTTTGTGTCAGGAATGTCGTTAAAACGTAAATATTAAAACAATTGAAAACATCGAAAATAATCTGTAGTAAATGCTGGAAATTACTGTTTGGCATATCGTAATCTGCCAATGACTGACAGATTTGTATTGAATTATTTGGGAACAATAAGTAATTCATTTAGAAATTCTACAAATAGCTACGAGAATGCACAGTTTGTTAATATACCTTGAGAACACCTTCTTAAATATTTTAAAATAACGTAAAAAAAATGCGTCTCTCGCTCTTGTGATCGTTCAACCCGCTTTTCTTGAGAATTTTTTACAATGTGGAACTCACTTTTCGTTTGATAGTTTGTCAGACAGTTCGATAAGATTGTTTTCTTTAACTGCAGATTTACATTTTTCTGTATATTTTCTTGTCGGTAAACGGTTCTATCTTACCTGAATATCTGTTGAGCTTACACAAGGAAACTAATCCTATCTCACACACGACATTCCGTGAAGGAATATCGCCGACTTCGCGTCTGGCAAATGAATTGTTTCCAAGTCAAGAAGGTGGTTGCTGAATTTGCAGTATTTGTGTACTGCATTCTTCGATTTGGTTACGTGGTAAAAGGGTTGTATTATACATCTTTTAAAAAAAGAATGCATGGAATGAATTTAGTTTGGAAGGATCTCGTTAGATCTTTCGTGTCGCTGATAGGAACGACACGTAGTAGCCGTTTCTACAAACTGCAGTAGTTGTTTCAGCAACTGTTGTTTGAGGGCGTTGCTGTACTTCCTTTCCCACAGGTCATTGCAGTAATGGCTACTAGGTTGGAGTTGGTAAGGAAGATGATGTGCTAATGAAGATAATTGAGGAGATTGGTGTTTAGTAACGTGCTTTTAAATGAGTGTTCAGGTTTTATGTGCACATTATGTCAGAGAGGAACTCGACTAGAATCATGAAGTCTTCATCAGAAGGTGAGATTCTTGACAGAGAGGAGACACAATTGATAAACGATTCCTCTGAGTATGGTAACCGTTATCCTGAGTCTAAGTTAAAACGCACCTTCACACTACCCCGGAACCCTTTCGTGTCAACGAGAATGAGTAAAAGAAAAGCCAAACACAAAGAAGGGAAGGATGGTAAGGGTTCTAATATACAAACAATTTCAGAAGTGCAAAACTCAGAGGTCCAGAAATCCAATAAAAAAGTGTTTCGGAGACCGTCTTGGAAGAAGTTCATCAACAAGGTTGTTCAGCATATGTCCACAGTGGGTGTTCCCAACAATAAAAGTATGTGTGTTAATTATGAATATAATAGGCGCAGGACAGACACAGTGTCTCTGTCATCTTCAGACATTCGTGTTCCTCCAATGCGCCCCACCCACCTAGCAAACTTAGCAAACAGTGATAAGGTCCCTGGTGTGATAGGTCTAAGAAACCATGGTAATACATGTTTCATTAATGCAGTTCTTCAGTGCCTGAGTCACACAGATATTCTGGCAGAGTATTTTGTCCTGGACCAATATAAGGTGGATTTGTCTCGCAGAAATAAACTGAATTCCAAGAAGTATGGAACCAAGGGTGAAGTGACAGAGCAGCTTGCTCTCTTGCTCAAGTCAATTTGGTCATGTCAGTATGATCCAGAGATTTCTAATCAGTTTAAATTAGTGGTGGACAAGTATGGTACTCAGTACCGTGGCAACAATCAACATGATGCGCAGGAATTCCTTGTGTGGCTGCTTGACAAGGTGCATGAGGATCTAAACACAGCCACAAAAAAGAAATACAAGATCATCAAGGTGAGCCCAATAAGCAACATTTGGATCAGTGTCCAAATGAAGGTATAACTTTCAGTAACACTGAAAGTAAAGCAAATTCTTTTAGAGATGTTATCAATTTCACTTGAGGCACTTTGTCATTCCAATTGTAACATTACCTTGGAAAATAGTATAATTTCAGAATATGTACAAGCAAATGGATTACTGTATAATTCCATTATTATTTTAACCTCTTCTCTGTTCACTATGATATTCTTCGTACATTCCCCAGTGTGTATATCAGGTACTGTAGACCTGAAAGACCAAGGTTTGATTCCATCTAAAGTTGACTTATAGAAGTGGTGTTTATTGTTTTTTAAAACTTATCTGCCGTATACTATACTGGACTCTTTCTTACCAATCTTCTAAATTTTACTGTGTTCTAAACCATCATATCCTTTGTAGGATTTGAGGTTCTCAGTGGTGAGTATGAAGATGGCGGGCTGTCTTCTGGGGAGAAGTGTCATGTAGTTCTGTAGAAGTTTACTAGTGTTTCAGAGGTGCTTGCTGCCTCCATCATCAGATTGGTCATTGCCCTGATGTTGAAGGCAGCAACAATGTCTGAAATACGAATAAACTTCTCCCATATAACATGGCACAACATCATAGAAGACAGTCACCTTCATAGGTGGCCATGAGAACCTGTAGTAATAACATGAGTTTACATTTTCATTATTCCTTATTAGGTCAGTGGCCAAGAGCATGTCATGAGAAGTGTTTATTCATACAACAACATGACAAACAAACAAAGATTAAGCCTTATAAGTGAAAGAAGTAACATCAGTGCATCACAAACCATATGAAAGGTTAGATTATAGTATTTAAAAAATCACAAGAGTTCAGTTTACATTTGCATTTTACATCTGGAGAGTTCTTAGTCTTCAGAAAGGTGTCTGACTTTTAATCAGGACACTACCCAATTCACTATTGTTACTAGACATAAATGAACCATTTCTTGTGACAAGCTTTCATTTCTGTTTTCCTTTTGTATTTTACATTTCTGCAGATTTCACCGATATATGTATTTTACTTTGTTAGAACGTTGATAACTTTGTTACTATTTCTGTCACAAGAATTCTACCATTGATAAGAATGGCTTGACAAGTGTGTGAAGTGATTAGGGCAATATTATCATCAGTAACATGTTCACTACTAGCTTATAGAACAGAATTTTGATGTACTTCCTTCAGTGCACCAGTTAAGTGTTCAAATTTACATGATGTTTTTCATAGTCAGCTCTTAAACATATAGTGTAAAGTAAAAAGTAAAGCTGCCCTGTTATATGCCATTTTGGGGGGTGGGGGGGGGGGGTAAAAACTCATACTCATTTCTTATCCTCAGCTCTGAATGGGGGCGAATGGTCAGCATCAGGTCCCAGCCTCGCTTTACCCCTGGGAAAAGACCCAGAACCAGTCTGGATGCATAGTTAATTCAGTGTTGGTTCTTGTATTTTCAGAGATTTGTTAATGTGTTGTATGCAGCTGTCATGTGTCTGCTTACATTGTGACATTGACATTGATTGGTTTAGTCTAGCAGATTTTTTATATAAAGGGAATCTAGTGTGGCTATTATGTACTGGAATATATAAATGAATTCTATAATTGTTAATTCCTGCTAGCTTCTCTGGTGAAAGAATGCATAAGAAATATGTTCCGTAATTCCTGTTTTCATGACTGGCACAAGAACACCCTAAAATGTGGTTAATCCTGTCTGCATTATTAGTGTGGCTTAATATCAAACTGTAAAAATGTCAGCAAACACTTCCTAGTGCCTAGGGCTGATATTAACCTGTTTCATTGCTTCTTAGCAAGTGTGTCCTTTATCAAACACTACAAGGAACTGACTAAGGGACGTACACTGTGCAGTGCCATTATTGCAAAGGGTTAACATTTATTAGCACTTAAGTGCAAGGACTCTTTTTCAAGGTCAGTGGAAGATATCTGTGGGTTTGGATCAGTAGCTTGTAAAAACACTTGGGCCCAGGAAACAGTTATTCTTTTGTAAACTTAAAAAAAAAACAGTATCATGTTCTGTGAATGGAGTTTATGGTGCAAGTATTGGTATCGTGTTGGTCTTATATCATATGGGAAACTTGTGCTTTGTACATTATGCATTATGAAGGAATAATACTCGGAGGTGAGGAAAATTAACACTTCATTACTACAAGCTGATGTTAAAGATAAAGTAGACATGGTTATCTCATGGCCTTTATATTTTATACCGGTTAATTAAAATGCCCTGTACAAACCGGCATACCGTTATACATGCTGAAGTTGTTCTGTTTTTGTTGTGCAGGTTGCATAGCATAACTTATATTTTCGAAAGGCATAGAGCGATTTTTTTAATATCGGGGGTGCTATGTTTCATTGATGAAAATTTTATTTTGAGATTGTATTTTTTTTCATTGCGTTGTTATGAAGAATTATGTGTATAATATTAATTAACATATCTTCAAAGAAACGTTAAAACATACTGAGTGCCCTGTAGTCCCTTGTTTTTTAATACGATCGCATGCAGACATTTGTCCATTGTTAAATTTTCCTTCAGTCGCAAGTATTCGAAGAATCTACCACCATCAGTGGTAGCAAATTGACACATTTGTAGACATTTTCCTGGCGAAATAGCAACACAGGCAAATTCGCTCTTGTGTGTCGTTTGTTACGTTGTTGCTTTCTTTCTGGTTGGACCCAGTGACCAACAGCGTGATATTTTCCTGTTTGTTTGGTCAGTTTTTGAAGTTTTGGATTGGTTCTCCGTTGTATGTGTTATATTCAGAGACAAATGTGAAGAGATGAGTGCTCCGCTCGGATGGCACAATTGATGAAATGAGAGAGAAAAACGTTGTGACCTACATCCGCCAAGGTTGCTGTCACCGCAGTCGTCTGTTCGTAGCGAGGTCACGCTCGTAGTGTGTGAAGTACAGTGTAACAAGAAAACATGGGCTTATATCAGTCATCGTTTTGCAAAGCCATGACCAGTCTCAACTGTCTTAACCGAATCCCGTGTTCCGAAGTCGAGCCTCTTAGATTTCAGTTTTTGCTCTCTTAGCTACCGTGTTGTGTTGCGGATATATTACGATATTGCCTTCGCATAAGTCACCAAGTATGATCAGCTGTTACGAATTAGGCCTTGTGGCCAATTCTGATATTGAAATATAAAAATGTGTAAAACAGTGTTAAATGTCGTTTATAAAAAGTTCTGTCGACGATGTAATACAATCTGGATTGTTGACTCATTCTAACGGACTCCACACTATATGCCCCCTTCATTGCACCAGAAGACAAGGACAGATCCAGTCCTTGCAATGTTGTGTATTTTATAAGATCAGACGATGGACAGGATCCAAAAATCCTACAGTCTAGATGGTTTTCTATGTTTAGGCCTAAGACTGACGTTTTAAATGTGTGTACAAAATTTTATATTCTGGTTGGTTTATGAAATCATGCCTAATGGAAGAGGTGTGGGTGATGGGGAGACATACAGATTACAAATCAAGATTTGTTAATCTGTAATGAACTGCCGTAATGAACAGGGCACAACTAGACTGTGTTTCTCCCATGTTGGAAGCCATATGAATATACGTTTAAAAATTTATGGAAGCCATCTCTTAACCAGCAATGCTCTAGTTGCTGTTTTCTTCGTCACGATATTGTTGCGTTATTATTATTTAGTGTTCTGTCTGACGACAGGTCCATATGAACAGGATCCTTCCATCCTTTTCTCGGACTGGGACCTGTTCATATACGTTCTTGGCAGATGATCCAGAAGTGGTTTACCATTGCCTTCTTCTGTATAAATTCGGGCACCGTCGGGAATCGAACCCGAGAACCCAGGATTACAAGGCCAGCGTTCTAACCGCTAGACCATGAAAATAAAACATTTTATGCTCTTATGACACGTGGCCACCACCCATAATTAGTGCGTGTCTCCTGTAAACTGTAGATATAATTTTTTGTATGCACAAAATAGCTAGCACAGACTAATTTAATAGCTGCATTTTATGCTAAGAATCCCCGAGGCATAAACGTTACTTTTGCATGTAAAGTCAATGCTACATACATATCAGTTTCACATTTTATTGTTATTTACTATTATAATCGTATGTTTATTATTATGATAAAGGGAATGGTCACTCAAGAGTAGATTTGTAATTTTATACGTCGCAAAATAAAAATCTCGTGCCAACTAAGTTGTCGGTACCGCCACTGTAATATCTGTTATTCAAAATTACGTATATATATTTGCTAAATTACTCATTTGCAGTTTCTTTGCCCATAAATGTGGGGAGAATTGTAGTAGTGTGTTTAGAATTTAATTTGAGGCATTTGTATGGGCAGATGGAGTACTGTTCGATGCCAGCTGGATCGTGAGTCATCGCTGCTTCGTGCAGTGATTAATGTGTCACATTTTTTGAGTCACTATATTTGTGGTGTTATGGACAGAATCTCATCTGCAGTTACTGTTACAAATTTCATGTAGATGTGATTGAACACTTTCAAAGTCTAGGCCCCAACCTTTAACTTCCGTGATTTTTAACGTGTTCGTGATAGTTAACATTTCAAAATAGGGCCACGGCCGCCTCTGCAAATCGTACCTGCCCAACAATCATGACCTTTCAATCTCCTTTTGACTGTATTTTACTTTTGAAGCCGAGTAGTTTCGAATCAAATCGACATTACAGAAATTCCGGGGCTTGCAGAACGTGTCCTGATGATAGCAGATGAATGTGTGTCGTCACGGACTTGTTTCATAACAATGACAGACGGCAGAACTGTTGCGAACGGGGAGTGGGGAAACGGTGTTGTCCCACTTAAAACCGACGCCAGACTCAACTGGGGATAAAAATCTTCTGTCGGTATGTAACGCAGCCGAGTTTAGAACCGGCTGTCTCTCGAATACTGCAAGTTAGGATTGTTTTCGCTACACGGACGTGTTCAGTCGAACGTGAGACATTTTAAATCGCATCGTGTGGCGTAAGCTAC